TCCTCCTCCTACTACTGCTACTGCTACTACTACTACTACTACTACTACTACTAGTACTACCACTACTACGACGACTCCTCCTCCTCCTCCTCCTACTACTACTACTACCACCACTACTACCACCACTACTACTACTACTACTACTACTACTGCTACTGCTGCCACTGCTGCTACTGCTGCTGATACGAATGCGAATACGAATAGACATAAGTTCATAAACATGCGAGTAGTTTCTATAATTACAAGTGACGTCAATAGTGGCAATATAAGTATGTTTGCACACACACACACCCGTAACTATATGACGTGTCATATACATGTGTGCGTCCATCCATGATTGGTTGTGTTTGCCTGTCTGTCTCCGCGTGGCAATCTGTCGTTAGGTGTATGCGTGCGTGCATGCCCGCGTGCACATGCATGCATGCATGCACGTGCGAGTGTTTTCTGTTTACATTGTTTGGTTGTTTTGCTGCTGCCAAACGTAAAGGTCGCAAAAGGCAAGCAGGTGAGAGCATCGAGATCCCGATCCAACAGCTGGCGAGGAGAGGGAAACACGAGCCTCAAACAGCTTCAACCAAGCTACGTAAGCTGGAGAGATTGCATGCAGACATCAAAGGATGCAGTCTCACCTGAAGCAGATGTCCTAAATCATGTCTGCCTGGTGTGAGAGACTTTGAGGTGGGCCACCTCGAAAACCAAGATCTACGACACGTTCACAGACGCTGAGTTGCACAACCGTAGCACCACGATTCGACCAAGTGCATAGCATGTTTGCCTTCTGCATGGCGATATTGCAGGAAGGCGTCAGCAAGATGCATCACAGATGCTCGGCAGCAGCACAGGCGAATCTCGGGTGACTCAAAATCCTGCACTTTCCGTTGGGGTCTGATGAGAAAGAGTCGTCCTTGGCTCCTCTTGAGATGCTCAGGCAAGTACCTTCACTTTCTCTTCGGCCGGGTTGAAATCCAGCGAGGGCAGAGATTGCAGAAATTGTTCTTCCTGGTGCCAGCAGCTATCCGAACATTGAAGGGTCAATCGCTTATCAAGGACCGGAATCACGACAGAAAGCTCTTTGCTGTGGCTCAGTCGGAAGATTCTGGTTGACTGACAGGATTGGCAGGAAGGCTGCATCAATACCGTCGACCGAAGCGGTCCGGAAGCAAAGTTGCAGGATTTCTCGGAGCAAGTGTGGGACGAGTGCCTCCAAGCAATGGCGTCGGACAGCAGCTGGAAGCAGAGGGAAGATGCATCAGGTACATTGGTTTCGTGGAGCATCAGTACAACCTTTCTCAGAAGCCCTTCCCGCTGAAGCTTCGCAGCATTTTGGCATTCTGCCTTGGTTCTCGCTGTGACAGCAGAAACTAATTGGGTTGCCTCTTGCAGCTGTTGCGAGTTGCGAGGAATGCATCAGGAGAGGTGATGGCTGCAGCCCGCAGCATCATTGTGCTGCTGACCATCATCATAACAGGTCGGCGTCTTATGAGACGATGAGTGTTTGTCTTTGTCGCACTTGCGTGTGTGTATGTATGTATATATATATATACATATATGTGTGTGTGTGTGAGGCACTGTCGCTCTGGTCTATGACGGTTCCTACTCCAAAGAGCACCGCATGGGCGAGTGCGCCACAGTTTGTTTTGGCGTCCGTCTGCCTGCAACTGTGTATGACATGCGAACTCTTCATACTCTACAGTTGCAGTCAAAGCATAGCTTCTTCTATTCAAGCCCCTTAGGGCCTCGACGGCTGCTAGTATATGTGGGCATATGTGGGCCATGACGGAGAGGCACCCGCACGTCTGAAGGCATGTGACTGACAGTAAGATCCCATCGTAGGAGTCTCGTCAAAGCACGGCCAAGCAAGAGCCACGTCAACGGTCACAACAGACGCCATGCCGCCAAGTGCACAGAAAGACTGCTCAAACAGTCAATGCAAAGTTGTGCTCTGCAATCTTGAATGATGCCGGTACGAAGATGGCTGACAAAGTACTAGATTCGGTGCAATTCCCCTTCGTGATCCCGGTGTTCTTGCTTTCTTATCTTTCTTCAGTCCTTTTCAATGGGGTGTACTTACGACTGAATTCGGCTTCAATTGGCTAACATACAGATTACACTTTCCCAGGCATCCGTAATGCTTGTTTGTCTTTTCGGCAATGGGATGAGCAACGGCATGTGAAGGTACGACGTGCACTATGCCAAGGCTGGAGCCGCATAGGGCACAGGCGTTACGACGGAAGGGCTGGGAACGGCTTAGAGTTTAGACATCTTTCGAGGCTGCACATCACGTGCCTGTAGAAACAGCAGCTGTCAGACCTGTAGCATGGTTGTCATGTCAGCCTGGCCAGCGCAAAGCATCGGTGCACAGTGGGAATTCCACATTGCGATCTCCTGCGATCCTGCGATCCCTGTCAAACTGAGCAGCTCGGGCTGTTTCTGGAAACGATGAAACAGAAGGAGTGCAGCTGGACCCACATGGTATAAACGTGAGAGCAACATCGAAAATTGAGGACACGTCTGTATATCTTTTTCTGAGTAAAGACCGACAAAGTCATGCCTTGGAACTTGGCGCAAGCAAGTTGCCAGTGTTGGCAGGATTGGTACGTGTGGGTTCTGTCTGGGCCTCGCCTATGCTCACAATGCGAGCTGCATGAGTTTTTTGGTCACCGAGGACTGGCTTGAGCACTGCGCATTTCATTTGCGCTGTGCTGCTGGTCCTCTTCCACGTCGAAGCCTTACATCGCCCTTCGCCTCCTGCCAGCGCGGTGATGCCGGCCATGCCGGCCTGGCCCCAGGTTGTGGCCTATTCCCAGTGGAAAATCGACACCGGCATGGACCAGTGGAAGGAGGAAAATCCTCATTCGCATCACAGGCGCTACTCGGCTCCTTTGCCGTTTTCTTCATATATGTCTTCGTGGTCGTAGGCTCAACGGAATCTTCGGCGCCATTCTGATGCTGTGGTTCTTCCTCCAGGCCGTTACAAGTTTGAAGATCAGTCAGGATCTTACTGGCAGTGTCCCAGGACTCCGGACTGGTGAACAAGCTGTTCTTGGCCGGCATCTCCTTCTTGGGTCTACACTTCGATTTTTTGCTGCTCAGCTTCGTTCCTGAACCCTGACTCGACTGCCTGCACCCGCATGGTTCCGTTCCAGGATTTTCTCCGTCCACCTCATGTACGTCTGCGCGCAGGTGATATGGCTGCGAGTAGTTGTCCAGCACTTTCTGAGAGACATGTTTGCTGTAAAACCAGACAGAGGTGCTACAGTTCTCCCTGATGGTACAACATAGTACAGTACAACATAGTACAAGTATACTGTGCAGTCGTTGAAGGCCCAGCAAGGTCTAACAGAATGCAGGTCGAGACGCTCGGCAAGGTTTTCGAGGCTCTCTGGATCACCAAGGATCAGGTCGTAGGCGCCCTGCGCTGTATCCGCACACGCTTTGGATTTATGCACATCCTCCGGGAAAGCTGTGACCTTGCTGTCGACGTCAATTTACTACATGGTTCAGTCAGGAACAGCAGTTCTGGGTTTCTGTGTCGCACCCTGAGAATCGATTTTCCGCCTGGTCAGAACACGGTTCACAAATTAGAGCAGTACAGGTCCAGTACTGTTTCTTGGTCCTCGGCTTCCTGACGTTCTCCAAGGGCTATGGCTTTGCGGCAACTGTACAGCATATCCCACCTTTTTGCCTGTCTTTCAACATCACCGTAGTAGTTTTCTGACATCACCGCACTGCAGCCCAGGACATGGACACCTCAGAGTGCTCCTCGTTGATGGAGTGTCTGTGCCCGTGGCAGCACAAAGGGAGAATCGTGAAGAGAAGTCCGGCGTTCGGCAGTCCTCGCAAAGCACTCTGCAGCCAAGGCTTGCTCACCTGGACTATGGATTTCGTTCAGGGCCTGTCTGGTCTTCAGCGGAGCTGACTTGGTGGAAGCAGCTCAGCTGAGTTATGATGCCATTCCCAGATGTCCGTGTTCGTCCATGTGCAGGTTCGCCTTCGATTACTTGTACAATCTGGTCGTAATTCTGATTTTGGCTGCCATCATTTCCGGCATCATCATTGACACATTTGCCAACATGCGAGCCGACCTGTCCGAGAAGAACGATGATCAAGAGAACAACTGCTTCATTTGCGGCATCAACCGATCGCAGATGGAGCGACAGATGGTCAAGTTCGAGCACCATGTCTTTCAGGCCAGGCCACTGTGCTCATTCTGCTCTTTACGCGGTGTTCATACCCAGTCCCTGCCAGGAGCACTACATGTGGAGTTATGCTCGCTTCCTGATGCAGCTCGGAAGCGGTTCTAGCTCATCGGTTTTAGACCCTATGTTCGAGTGGCATAATGATGCATAATGCAAGATAATGCAACCTTTTCTGCAGCCATGTTATCACGTACTCGCAGAGGCTCACGGTTTCTGTTTCAAAGCTGCGTTGCAGATTATTCTTTGCAAGGTATCTCAAGCAGGCGAAGGATTCAGACTTGAACGGCCCAGAGTCCTTTGTCAAGGCCAAGGTGACGAGACAGGCAGTCGCCACAGTCAGCAACGACGTTTGACCGGAGTGGACTGAAGCTTTCGAGTCTCCGAACATTGCCATGAGGACTACACCTTTTATCCAGTCAATCGAGCTTTGACGCTGGATTCCGATGATGCAGAGGCAGGTACCTGGAGCTAGGATTGCAATGTCTTCTGCGAGCTCTCACTCACGATCATACCAAAGCCTCCAATCTACATCTGCAGGCGTCAGAATGACGGGATGCATGCCTTTTACGCTACAGTAATTGATCGGCCCCATTCGGCCGTTGTACTTATTGTGCAAACATCATGCGACCGGATCTCGAACGTGTCGATGTGTGCCACATTAGAAGTTGACTGGAAGCGGAGTTTCATGCTTGACATCTCCGCACAGGACTACACAGAGCGACAGGTTCGCATCAAGGATTTGGAGGAGATGCGTGGCTCTGCACGATTCTCAAGCGAAACTCTTCGAGTTCGTTCTTTCCTGGAAATATCGTGAGGTGCGTCAGTGCACAGAGACCTCTCAGCATATCCTGCAGCTGAAGCGAGAACTGAAGAAGCTTGGCAACGGATGATTATAATGGCCTTCCGGATTTCGACTGACACAGTAGTCAAAGACATCGACCATTTCAGGTCTGAGTGTGAATCTCCTGCTTGACCAGGACGGTCATGAAGGAATCCAACGAGGCAGCGGAATTCTCAGTGAAGGCCCACGGCAAAGGCACACAAAGAAGCAAGAAAGTGATTGTCAATATTGCATGGTCAGCCCTAAATTGGCCATGCCTGCCAAGGTTGCTGACATGCAGATGCGACTTCAGCTTTTGACCGGAGATGTGCACAAGAAGGCGCGACTATGAAGTGCTCTGCGGTGAGTTTACTTTACATCTGCACCGGCCTTGTCATCTTCGTGTTCCCCTCCACTTCGGAGAGGTTCAAGAAGCAATGCTTCAAAAAGCCGCTCAGCAAGCTGCAGGTCATCGCTCCGATTGGCAAGGTTTGCCAGTGTTGCAGGCTTTCGCACCGGCAGGTGACAAGTAAACGACGAAGAGCCTGCTCGCATCAGTTAGTCAACCCGGGCACGAGCCTTGGCCGAAAAAGCTTCGGTCACCGCATACAAGTGCACCTTCTGTGTCCACTCCGCTATGTCTTTCGTTACCTCCAGCTTGGCTTGACAGGCAGCGGCGGCAAAATCCTGCGACGTGCTGTACCCTGATGGAAGTCACGAGGCAGGAAAGGACAGAAGCCGAGGATCTCGACGTCCGCACTGATGGCCCATGCCACAGTGCACTTCCCTCCAGATGGCGAAAGTCACTCCAGGATCCTGGAGGACAGCCGCGCAGGCTGACTGAGCTGCTCTGCAAGCATCTGCGCGTCCTCGATCCTCGAGCACTGTGGGGACATGAGTGGTTTCGACGTCTCGCCGAAGGATGAGAGTGGGGGGGGAATCCACATTGCAGTGCCACTGCCAATCCTGGATCGTTCCTTTCTGGAAGAAGATTTCGGATCCAACTGCGACAGAGACAGCGATCCGCGGGACACGCTGCATGTGCAGAAAGCTGGGCGCAGGTGGATTGGACTGAAGCACCATTGTCACTAGAGTCACTATAGGTATCAAACGCGATGTATCAAGCGTCCAAGTCTGGTCCAGTCTGACTGCGGCCAGCTCTTGATGTATAGCAGAATCGTTACTCTTGGCAAATGCTGCGAGGATCTCTCTAGCTGTTAGACCGCTAGCAAAGACAGTTCCACGCGAATTTCATGCCAAGTGCATGAGTTGTACGTGTGTGCCTGGAAAAGATAGCAAGTCGATGCGCAGCTTGGAATCTGTGACACGCAGGATACTGAAGTTACGCTGCTTAGAACTAGCAGACTCTGAGGGCTTCACTCGGCGTTCTCTGCCTTGTTTCATGCAGCATACTCTTGCTATCTCTTGCTGCAGTCGTCTAGGATTAGCATGCCTGCAACATATGACTGTGATCATCTGCGTGACTTGAGACATCATTAACTTCCTGTATTATTATTCTGAGTCAGAATCTAATCCGGAGTTAATGAAGCAGAAGCTTCCTGTCGGAGACCTTTGTTTGCCAATCGCACATGTCTGCCGACAGAGCAAGCTCCGACCAGTCTAGCACAGCCTGGCCCGAAATAGACACTTCCTCGTGGCAACAAACTTTGGCTTCCACTGCACAGGAGCGAGAACGAATTGTGGCAAGCCTGCACCAGGAGCTCTGCTTGCTGGAGGGACTCATGAGTCAGACCGTCGCTACAATATCGGCTTGTCCTCAATCGCTGGTTGGAAACGGATCACCACGGTCTCCAATAAATGCATGGGTGAAATCTGCATACTCGGGCATTGTGTCCCCATCGGTTCCTCCTTTGATTCAGCCTCCAAGCATGGGACCGGAATCATTGCAGCTCCCGCCGCGGACCAGGTCAGCCTCCACGCCGTCGTTGGGCAAATTCCAGAGCGCATCTCGTTCCGTTGGCTCCTTCTGTCAAGAAGCCAGGAAGGGAGCCATGGGAGCCAAAGCCACGTCGCAGAGCAAAGCGAAGCCTGAAGCGGTGAATGAGCTGAACCACCGCCAATCGGCGACCCGAGCGCCCGCGCGGCGCAGGGGCAGTGCGCTGCCAGCATGGCCGAATCCGAATCAACGGGGACCCGCCGAGCCGGTGCAGACGCCTCCGTGCCCTCGGCCCCTCGTGCATCTCTGAACTTGCAATGCGCAACAGCCCAGCTATTTTGGACAGAGCTTGACGTCAAAGTACGCCATTGCCGCTCCAAAGACGTCCAGCCAGACGAATCTTGCCGTTAGGTCCGATAGAGCATGGCCATTGATTGTGATTGTGTGTGTGTGTGTCTCTCTGTCTGTCTGTCTGTCTTTCTGAGTGTGTGCGGGTGCGCGTGTGTTATCAAGTTGTTCCCGAAACTGCGGCTCTCGAGCACAAGTATTGCCACGGACCAGGGACACATCCACAGGGAGAGCCATTCTTGCATTTAAGACTTAAGGCTCAGGGCCTAGAGGGCACATCCAGAAACCACCCAGTGGAAGCCAGTAGTACGCAGATACTTCTTGCAATCAGGGTCATGCCTGCTGAGGAGGACGGTCCTGAAGTCAAGTCAAGAAGATGATGCATCGTGATGCTGCTCGTCAGTTATCATGATCTTGGCAATGATCCAGAAAGCATCTAGGGTGTAGACGACCTAGACTGAGACTCAGAAAATTTCTGAGATGCTGGCACACTTGCGCAGATATGCACGGTTTTTGTCAGTTGCAGGATCCAGAGGAGGCAGCAGCATGGGTACAGTACCTCAGTCTTTCGTCTCATGTGTCATCAGCCAACACGTCGGAGATGAGGCTGCCTTGCGAGAAGCTTTCGGGGAGTCCAACAGGAGATTTCCCATTCCCCGGCAGTCAATGTCAACCCTCGCGGCACCACCGGCAGCCAGGATGCCAAGTAATGCCAAGGATGGCCTCAAGGTGCCTGCCAGGTGCGGATCATTGCTCCCAAGGATCAAGAAATCGCAACAAATGTCCGGCGCAGGTTGCCAAGCGACAGGAGCGGCGCCGAGCCCAAACAGCTTCGACGCCTGTTCGGCACAAACGGAACCATTCGTTCGATGCATTCTATCAACCGCTGGGCCATCAGATCACTACTACTTCTGAGTGCAACAGACACGTCCCTACGTCCCTATGCAGCTCAGGGCTCGACTTGGCACAAGATCAAGCTTCTGGTCATTGGCTTCAGTCCGAGGCATGTGGCACCTTGCAGGGTGAGTGGAACCAGCATTGTATTCGGCGAAGCTCGCCAAACGCTGCAGGTTGACCGATTGGTGGGTGAGGTTCAGCGCGTTGCTGGACAGCCCTTTTCTGCCAAGCTGTTCCTCAGCCTGCATGTGCTGTACCTTCTTTCTAGGCATCTCAATCCTGATGATGCCCAAGATGGTGATACGGAGCTACAGAACGTCATAGCTTAGGTTGCAAGCACTCTGGCATTTACCTCTGGAGGAACAGCAAGAGGCGTCAGTGACTCAGAAGATCTATTACATCCATTTTCATCCCGTCCAGTGGCCCAGCCTTTCTTGCCACTCTGCAGCCAGGCTTCTGGGAGCACGTGCGTTGGGCTCAAGACGTCTGACCCGCAGAGATGCTGGGAATGAAGCTCGAACAAGCACGCGTCCGTGCGATGCCTAGAGGCGATGATAGTGTTTGGCAGCTCTTGGCGGATGAGGCCTGGAAGCTTTCAGGTGAGGACCATAAAGCCATGAAGTCTTTCTCTTCTGCAGGTGCATGCTCGGGAGGACAAGCAGCCGGCGCGGGACCGGGTCATGACGGAACAGAAGAGGAGGGCCAGGGCGGCGGAGTCCAGGGAGCCAACGGAGTAAGCGCACCCTGCGCGGAAACTGGGCCCCGTGATGCCTTGAGCTGCGGGGCTTGTCTTTTCCAGGTCAAAGCGACACCGCCAGCGACCGCACCAGCTCTGCCTGTGGCCCTGACCAAGCACCAGTGAATGTCTCAGCTGTGTGCAGCTTTCTGCCGCCAAGGCCAGGATCCCAGCAGAGCAAAAAACTGACGAAAGGCTGAGAGCTTCATGCTAAGCGGCATAAAATGCTAAGCGGCATTAAACGGCCAAGGGTGTGGCTACTTGCTCCTTGCGGTTGATATTCTTTAGCATGCTAAAAACTGAGCGATACTTCCCACATACGGTTGGAAGAGACACCTCCGCGACTGTTGACAGGTTCCGGTGCTCGAGCACGCTCTCGCTCGAGATCACCATCGATTTGACGCAAAAGAGGGTGTTGAGCGTTTATGCAGTAGTTTGCCAATGTTCAGACAGCCTAGACTGACTGCATGGTTTCTTCGACTCGGTTTAGTGTCCAGTTTCTGGTGCTCACCATGACATTTTTTGGCTCATCTGTGAGTGCTCCTTGCCTGCTGGAAAACCTCGGCGGCTTTGGCTGCACAGATCGCACCGGCTGTCGCATGCGGCATGGAGTGAGTATGAGTGAGTGCATGTCTTTGACAGCCCATAGAGCACCCAGATTCCGTTGTCCAGAATGTTGTCTCGGCTAGCAGGCAGGTCTGCACATCGTACCCGTCTGGGCCCCATGCTTAAATATGCGGATGGCGTTGGATTTGCACGATCACTGCAAGGCGACTACTCACAGAGATGTGGTGCTTGCGTGCGGTCCCGAGATTCGAGCCAAATCCTAAACAGGCTTTTCAGTTAAAGTTGAGGTAGACGCGCACTACACCTCGCATCCATCTTCTTGGCGACAAGAAGCTTTGCCAAGAAGAGCCAGCAAGACTCTTAGAGATGTTGGCCTTGGCACCGATAAAAATCTCAGCGGATCTCAGATTCGTTTGCCTCATGCCTACCCAACAAACAGTAACATCATTCGCGCCGATGTGCCTTCCACAGTCTTTCTCTGTGCAATGCTTCATCCTGAACGTGAGCTTGACGTAGGCCTTTCGATTGCTCTCCACCTCCGTTAGTTTCTATGAACAAACGGTTTGCCCATTGTTTAGCCACTTGCCTTTGTCATCTCGGAGCCAGAGAAGCATCTGTCGCTGCCAGGGAAGTCGCGGCCACTGCTGTCAAAGTGTCGCCAGATGTCGAGATGTCGCCACCTGGTCCATAGCCACCTGATGCATGAGCATCATGATGCATCGTGCCATCGCATTGTTTGATGCATCCCGCTAAAACGTCTGAGACCGAAGCTACATGCCGATGGTTCGTCAGTCCTTGAAACGGCCGCTGCAGCTCCACAGTGGCTACATTGACACTGCACGAAGCTTCACCAATCAGCCAACGAGCATGTACTAGCATTGCTGTCCAGATAGTGCTGTAACGTGCTGCACTGTACCATACTGTACCGCAAAGCTTGCAAAAACCCGTAGAGCCACGCAGTTCTGCCACAGATCGTGTGTGTGTGTGTGAGTGAAAAAAAGAGGACAAAGCAATATTTGTCATGCCTGCAAGTGACCAAAGCAGTGTTGCCTGGGATAAAGCGCGCCTAGCGGCACAGCTGCGACGCACTGTCGCCAGAGTATGATGCTCTCCGTCTTGGGGCAAGCTAGTTCTTCCCACCGACATCAAGTTCGCGCGAAGGACCACTGGCCGTGCTGTTGCCGAAAATAGTGGCGCAGTTTTCATGCACCTCCCACACAGTGTCTCCGGCACAGCTCATTGCAGCTTACGCACTTGCCGAACTATGGAGCTTGCTCTGCTGACCCGGCGTAGCCGGCAGCTGTGCCTTGCATGTGACCCGAATATGCTCGAATGATGTCGTCGACCTTGAACGACCTCGTCGACCTTTCGGTGGACTCTCCTCCTGTTGTCTCCACCGTTTGTTGGCTGCTGTCACCGCCCCAGGGCGTCGTCGCATGTCCTCGTACCCACATACAGTTGTGAGACCAAGTCCAGTTTATTGTGCCTGCATGACTGGTCATACATATAATAGCACATACATGCACATGCACACACACACACTCTCTCCCTCTCTGTCTCTCTTTCTCTTTCTCGACTTCACGTTGTTCTCTCCATTCCGATGTTTCGTAAGGAATCTGCGATGCTCAAGGCATCTCAAGGCTATGCTTGAAGGTGCACAATGGGAAGGGATGGGCAATGCACGATGTCAAACACATGCACATATATGCACAGCAATTATGTCGGGCTGCCCAATCGCGACATCTACATCAGCCGTGCTTGGTTGGACCACGGCATTCACCAAAACGGGGATGACGCTCCTGCTTGCAATGAACTAACAGACTCAACGCTTTAGGTCAGATTCCGCTCGTTCTCAACACGACGCCTCCTTGCTTTGCTGCACTGCTAGGGGTATTACGTCCAGCGCATCGAGAAGTAGGCCAAATATGCAGAAAGTCACTGATAATTATGTATTTTCATTCAAAAGCAGATAATCAGGGAGTAGCTGCTACCTGCAGCTGCAGGCTGCCGTAGGACGAACAGGTCACACAAAGATGCGACGCATTGCAACGCGGTGTGTCTCCTGAGTCTCCCGTCCTATGGAATATTGCTCCGGGCTTTGCTGTGCTTCTATCGCAGGTTGGGCCTGACATGTGGCAGCACCGGCGCATGCGATGTGCGAAGCTTATACAAGGATGGCAAGTGCGAGTTTTTTCTGTTCGTGTCTCGAGGAGTTCGAGGTGGAGCTAGCCGAGGAAGAGCTGGCTTCAGAAATGCAGGCGAGGGCATTTGCATGCATTTGCCAGCCTCCAGCCCAGACTCCCAGCATCTCCCAGTTCCCAGTGGGACTAGTGGGATCCCTTCGGCGCGAACCCTATGACAGTCGGGCCAAGGTCCTGGCCCAAGAGGCCCGTAGAGCCTGTAGGGGGCCACAAGTGTGCGATAATGCGGTGTCGGCGCGGGGCGTCCGAGCTTATGTGCCACGCCGTGCAGGACTAGTCACGCGGTCCTTGATTTGCGTCCAATAGCATTTACAGCAGCAGTTTCAACTAAAGGCGAGACGGCGGAAGGAGCGACAAAAACAGCGACAGTGTGCGAGAGTGGATGCTTGGGGAGAGCATGCTGGTGTAGCGCCAACACTGCTGTTTGGGGCAAAATCTGGAGTCATGAGCTCCCTGAAATCTTTGCTTTTTCGGGGACTGCAAATTTGCGCTGCAGAACGCTAGAAGTGACGACGATTCCATTGACGAACTCATGATGGGTGACTTGCCTCCTGTTGGTGTATAAGAATTCTGCGGCGGCAAGAGGGGTCCTGGTTTCCAAACTCGGTGTTCCCCTGTCATTCGTTGCCGTGGCAAGCATCACAGCTTTGGAGGTCGAGCTTTTGCAGAGGATGCCTATGGACATCCGGCTAGCTGCCAGCGCAGAAGCAAGATCCTTAGACGGCAAGGATTGGGGCCTCGGCATTGCAAGTCCGGCCGCCAAGGTTGCCAGAACAGATCAGGTTGCCAAGAGCAAGGCGTGCTTGGTGGATCATTTAGCATTGAGCTTAGCCGCTTAGCCGCTTCGACTGCACGTGTCTACAATGTGCTCCCATGCTGTGATGTACCGTGCAATGAGGTGGGATCCTGGCATGTCGAGGCATCCGCTTGTCACTGCAACCCCACGGACATTGTCGTGAGCTGGCCAGAATGCCTTGGGCATCGATGGCGTGACCGTGCTCCTGCAAATCTCGCCAAGGTCACAAGGAGTGTTCGCGACCGGTGCTTAAAAGTTCTGATCGTACACATGCAAAAAACGTGCAGGTCATCCGGTGTATGTGAGGACGCTGGCAGCCCAGACTACGCATCTGAAGATACGGCCTCGCCATTGCACTTGGTGAAAGGTGGTCGGTCAGATACACTACCTTGGGAAGCAAACACAGTCCTCGACCAAGCTTCGGTTCAAACTGTTCACGATATAATATAGTGACCGCTGATCAGAGAGAATACAGACGCAGATGTTCGTCTCTTGAGGCTGAAAATTATGTCTCGGCATGGCAGGTATGCAATTTCTGCTACGGCGTTGGACAACGGCAAGCTGCATGTGAAGTACGTCAACAAGCAGGAAACATCTGAATGTATTGGCAGGGCTGGTATGGGCTGGTGACGTTCCGCCAGGCTTTCAATCCTGTGAAGGTATCGGTTCTCCGCAGCATTTCTCACAGCAACTCGAAGCACCTCATCTGCTGTGAGCACGAAGACATCTGTAACAGGGACTGGGTCAGCAAGGACGTTTGCAACACTGGCACCGACAAGTGTGCCGCTAGTCGCAGTTTAGCCGCAGCTATCACGAATGGGTTCCACCAGCGTCGTATCTGCAGCCCTGCCGCACGGGCCTCGGCTGGGTTCCGTGGTATACGCAGAGCCGGTAGCAGATGACATTGACATGCGGAAGCTTTGTGGTCGAAAGAGGCTCGCAGGAATCGGAGCTTTCATTGCGAGACCCAAGCTGCTCAACCGCAGGCAAAGGTGATTAGTCACGGCTTGCTTCGTTACTGATGGACGTGGCATATCACAGCCAAGGCTTTGGAAAGAGGTGATTTGTCCAATTATTGTGTCTCTCATCAGGCTGGAACATGTCATGTACCTGCAGTGAATCCATTGCTGAGTTTCGTGCATCCAGTACGCTGGTGTCGCTCTTCGTGCTCTTTGGGGCAGCGCTGCACCCTCAAGCAAATGCTCTGATCAATGCAGGATGGCCAGGCAGAGACGCATAGAACTTGACTTGCCTTTGTGACTCTTCGGAAACCGGGGATGAATTGCGACTTGACCACGACCAATCATTCGCGGCAGCGATGTTTTGGGCTCTCTTAAGAGTTTCGGGCTTGGTGCGAGATTTTCCGAAGCAATTAAAGTGGCATGACCAGACATGACTGGTCTTGCCGGGGAGAGACGACAAGACCACGACCGAACATGAAAGTGAATTACATCTTTGCCGAGGGTATTTAGGAAGTCTTTTGTCAGAGCAGTGGCACGCCCCAGGAAGAATCGTGCCCTGCACTTTTGCTGGCATTCCCATGAAGATTCGCTCGCTTCCTAGCAAGACTGCCTCCACAATTCGGACAAATTTCAGATTCCACTCCAAAGGTATCGGCAAAACCAGGATTTGGATGTAGGGCATAGGGCCGTTTAGGGAGTGTCCCGAGCAGCCTCTCCTCGGCTCTCCTCTATTTAGGACGAAACATGCACCACGTCGAGAACAAATTTGGCATCCGTACTCCCAAATCTGCTACCAAGTATGAATAAGTATGACGATCTTTGTAATGCATGTGTAATGCTGTGTACTGGCATGCGGCATACCCATGCACAGCAGGCATCGAGAGAGAGAGAGAGAGAGAGAGAGAGAGAGCCCTTTGACTGTGAGAGAGAGCGCCCGGAAGGATGGATTGCCTGGATTTCTGGAGTCTTGCTGGTCCTTGCAGAAGTGGCTCTGGTGAACATCATTTTGATGCTCGCCTCCGCCTAAGTTTCAGTTGCCTGTCTGTTCATTGAATAACAGCGGCATGTTTCAGGTTCTTTTTGGCTGCGCTGGGTCCTCGGCCCCTTGACGACAGGCGCGGTCTTGGCAGAACTTGTTGCAACTAAGGTTCAATCGAAGATTTCACGTGCAGTGTTGCAAGAGAGACTAGCTGCATATATGATTGCAGTGACATTCGTAAGCATGTGCAGGGAATGAACAGAAGCGATTGCACTTCAGGAAAGGAGTCATGGACCAGCTGCGCGCGGAATTTGCGCAGCGTGGACAAGAGCTTCCAGAGGCGAGGCGTCCACAGCATCAGCCGAGCAGACAGTTTTCTCGATGAACCATGTCCGAGCCGAGATCCCAACACGGCCCGAGCTAGAGAAATGCACAGCACCACAGAAGCTCTTCCTTCTGTCACCCCCGACTGGGGACATCGGCTCGACGGGGCCTGAGGCAAGATCCATGCTCGGCGACTGCAGTGCCCTCAAGAAACCAAGCTGAGACCTAAGCACAGCAGCAAAGCCCACCCAAACAAAAAGATGAAGCCAAGTCAAACTCCGGACGTCTTATGTGGGCCTGAAACTGACCTTCTGATACGAGTCAGCCATGTTGTCAATGCAGGGATCAAGAGCACCAAGAAATCCTTGCTCCCAATATATTTGAAAGACGAAGACGCACCTCTGGACACATGAGACACAACAAGAATCAACATGCAATGCAGTTGGCTGCCTCGCCCAGTGCATGAAAAGCTCAGAAAAGCTGAGCGTACACCAACTGTAGACTCAGACAAAGTGCACGGATTCATCGCTCGTCCAACTCAGGCGAATAGGAAGTGACTAACATTCTTTGAGCAGTGGCTGCTTGTACATATGCTCAGTCAGAGCAAAAGTGCTTGCCAATCGAGGTGTCTAGGGGTTCTTTCTGCAGCGCCAAACTTAGGCAAGCACACCAAAACCCCAAGCCCTGTCCGACACGGACCCTCTACCAGTAACAAATTAGAAGTGTGAAACGTCATCCTCAGTCCCATAACCCCCGAGGACACAGCTAACACCCGAACGTCGCCTCAGCCATGTTGAAACAAGAGCTCCCCAGTCCCCAAATTCAAAATCCTATGCGAACCAAGCCTGGGAGCCTCTAATTAAAATCCCGAGACACAGCTCCGAAAACTGCAAACCAAGCCTGAGGCTTCCCAACACCAAGGACTTCCCAAGATCATCCAATCCAGGCCCGAGGCCTTCCAGCTAGGCAAACCAAGCCTCACACCTCCTTGTAGAATCTTCAGAGAAGCCACCAGGAATGCTGCAAACCAAGCTTGAGGCCAATTAAAAATTGTAAGACAGATCCGCAACATCCAGACGTTAGATCACCTACAATGAGCACTCTCAGGCCTCAAAGCATCCTCTTTGCGAAAGGTCAACAAGAAAGCAGGCCAAATCCAGAGCACATGATAGAGTCCTGAACAAGGCCCCCGAGGTTGCTCTAATCAAAGTGCCACATGACGCCCAATGCGAGTGCAGCAGCTCAAAGCAATCGTGCGTAGATGACATGTTTGGGGCACCTCTGAATCCTTTCTGCTGCCTCAGCTGCAGGGAGGCAATCCGTAACGATGACGAAGAGCGGTAATTCCTTAAACTTCCTCCGGTTGATGCTGACGAACATGCGTGTAGTGAATTAAGACTAAGATGCTTGGATATGGTATTTAGTCACTCGAACTTGTCAAAGTTGATGACAAGCTGTCGAGGTAGTTTCGCAGATGTAGACTGTTGTCCAAGGTTGAATATGGGTGCCATGGGTGCCATCAGTCAGTATGCAGCACGGACAATACATACCGCACAAATGATGAGAGCAACACAAAATAAACAGACATGCAGATGCACGAATTAGCTTCCCAACTAGCTTCTCAGAAATAAAGGCATTTTCGTTGGTGCCAGTCCCGCAGGCATCGCTGGCCACTGGCCTACTGCCTTTTTCTGCTTGGCTCCTCCACATAGAACTTTGTGTGCAGAGTCTCAGGCTGTCATTGGAGTGGCATGATGCCTGCAGTTTAACAACACCCAGATCCCCAAATCATACACAGTTTGCAGGTTCAAACGTTGCGCGCTTAACCCAATCATGATTTCCAAAACAAAAACCTCAAACCACGCCACCAAGTGTGAGGCAAGCAGATACATTGCGAAGGGAAGCATAAGCAGCTAATGCTCGGGGTTAGCATGCTCTCGTTTCAAAGGCCAAAGATAGCCACAGAGTCTGCCAGTTTGTGATTTGCGCCTGCAAGACTCGAGCAGGCGAATTGCATGAGGGACCTGGGCCACAACCTCCTTTTCCTCTTCGGGAGGCGCCTGTCTGGATTCGTGTCGGTGGCAGTTAGGATTCTCCTAGGAAATCGTTGACAGGATACCTTTGATGATCCTCACGATGCCTCTTCATGGCGTGCCCATATTGGGTCAGGCAATGTGTCAAGTCATGTCAAGTCCCTCCAATCTGATTGTAACGCAAAGCATGTACCGGGCATGGTTGCTAGGTGGCATGGCTTGTTCTGAACGGATGGATTTACGCGTGGGAGTTAGAAGCAGAGTTCCTTGTCTTGTCACTGCCTCAGCCTCCCTAGGGCAACCATGAAATGAATGCATCATTGGCACTGGTCTGCTTCAGCCATGTTGCATGGCATTGCACCACCTTGCTTGTGAAGAGCTGAGTGCATGCGAGCGGCACCGATGCAACCAGCAGTGGCAGTTCGTTAGCAAGCGTTTCGGCGCCTTTGTGGGTCTCTTGGATATTTGATTTTGATGCACGAAATCCGAGTTTTCTGATGCGGCAATTCTGCAATAGTCTTTAAGTCATCCTTCCAGCTCGGCATTGTGTACCTGCAGCAAACTCTGTGGTGAGGCTTTGGTACGACAGCAATGGCACTGGAACTGACACCTGGGCTGCAGTGGGTCATGCCTTGACGATGACTCATGCAGAATGTCGGTCAAAGGATTCCCTTCATTGGTCCATGGGTGTTCTTTGCTTCCAATGCATGTGGAGCTGCCTTGCTTGCAGAAAGTTTCTTCGAGGAGCTACTTCGCGACAACTAAGACTAAGAATGCTTGGCACAGTTGCAGATCATAAAAGCCCAGTTCCCAGAGAGGAGACGCACCTCCGAGCCAACGGAACATGGATTGCAAAGACTGTCCAGAATGGAGAGGTGGTAGGTGCGGGAAAAGTCAGAGGTTTTTCAGAGGTGGAAGGGATCCATGATGCAGCATGCAGAGTGTTGCAGGCAGTTCTTCAACGGAGGGCAGCTCATGCTCCCCTAGTGCCCCGCCGATATGCTGATCTGAGAGCTGCAATTGGACAGTTTTAACCTGGGGTCGGGCAAGCACAAGACTTGCGAAGACTGAGCCGACGCGGCTCAGTGTTGTGCCAGAATGCTGAGTGCGTGTGAAGTGTGGAGCCTTGCTGACACTGTATCTCGTTGAACGCAGCCAGGCCGAGCCGGACTACTTTCACGAGGGCGAGTATGACTTGGCAAAGGACTCGCTATTGGAGGAGAGCGGGCTGTGGCAACAGCACCACCTCTCTCTATGTTTCTCGGCTTCTTCTAAAGGACTTAGGTGCAGTGAACGGTGTCAAGCAGAACGACAACATGCTCCGAGCTAAGATTGGTTCCAGGAAGCACCGGAAGCATAGGCTGTACGAAGAAACTTGCACGCATGCAGATGCTATACCTGAATGAACCAGGGAGCTCATCTTCAAGCGGGCCACACCGGCCTGAGAAACAGATTCAGCCGAACGGGCACTTGCAAAATCGACACCAGTGCATTTGCGAGATGGCTTCGAATAGCAGTTTGGTTCAAGCAAGCATGTTGGGGTTGTGTGAGCATTGACTGTCGCGCGGCGTGGCAGCCTCTATCTAAAAATTGCACGACTAATCCAAACATCCTTGTTCTTCGGGAAAGAAATCAAGCATTTTTCCGGTCTGAGCAATTCAGAGAATCTAATACCTAAGAATAAAAATTGTCTATAAAAATTTCGATATAGATATATATATATATATGTTTTCGATTATTATATCTATTAGAGTTTTTGCTTATAAAGAATTAGTAAGAGGTATTGTTAAAAAAATATATATGTATATATGATATGATTCTTAGGCTAATATTTTATAGAAAAATTGATAATTCTGGGCTGAATTCTCCAATATTCTGTGCCGGTGCCGTGCGCCTCCGTTGTTTTGTGCGCGCCCCTGGCCCCTGGAACCTCGCCCTTTGGCGCCTTTTGAAAGCCTCTTGCGTGCTTGTCTCGCGCTACTAAAATTTCGGAAATTTTAGTACCGGGAGCACTTTTTTCCCGCTACTAAAATTTCCGAAATTTTGGTAGCTTTAGGAAATCTCGCGGTATTCAAATTTCGGAAATTTTGGTAGCTCGAGGGGGACAAGCTCCCGGTAATCAAATTTCTGAAATTTTCGGTAGGCATGCTCGCGGTCATAAAATTTCCGTTTTTTTTGGGACATGCTCGCGGTAATAAATTTCCCGAAATTTTAGTACCGGGAGCATGTCCCAAAAAGGAGGCTTTGAAGAGAAAAGGCATCCGATTTTGGGGCCGCTCGTAGAGCACGTGAGAGGCTTGCAAGAGGAAGCGCATCGGGATTTGAGTGCCGAAATTTCAGTGCCGCGAGACAAGCACACAAGACACTTTCAATAGGAAACGCGT